GTGTTTACTCAGTTGCTTAAAAACATTCTTCCTATTACATCGTATTAAAACACTGATGAGTACTCAATATGATGTTGATCCCTCGTTAAATATGTCACACAAAGCACTGATCTTACGATTCGATGACTAAATAAAAAATGAGTCGAGACCTGAGTGAGCAGCAAGCCTGCAATTCAGGTACAGTGAGCTGACGAGTTCCAAATAGGATGAAATGCGCACATTGACTGCTGATAGTAGACTTTATCAATCTTTCTAAATAATACTTGTAGCCTAATGGTAATATCTAGGCGAACCGTGACAACTGAAAATGATCAACTGAATTCCTAAACATCTAAAGGAAAATTCAGGTAATAAGTACAAATGAAATAATCTTCATCCAGCACAAGAGATTGGCTATCTGAACTCAGTAGCTAGCTGGATATCGCAATCGCGTTTGAAACAAACGTTAGTGGGTTCGAATCCTGGAGTGAGCATCAACTTTGTGATTCAATTACATCCAGCTAATGAGTCTCTCTCCTGGATTCCACTATCCATCTCTACTAATAACAGTAGAAGAATAGCATCAGTTTTTGCTATTAGCTACGATAAACGAGCTAACATTTTATGTTTGAAAAAATTAATAAGAGTTTCTGTTTAAATAGACTCAGTTAACCTAGTGAGTCTTTTCAATTAACTATTCACTGTAGAATATGTTTAGTGCCCTTTTCAAGAGGAGCAGAATATTCCCTGAGAAATAAAGCTTTGACTAAAACATATTGATAATAATTCCAGGAAGTAGTTTGTGAATATCCAATCCAGTTAATTATATAATAAGTATGCCTGCAAATTAGGATTGGCTGCAAAACTCAACCTAGAACCTCCTCATGGTACAGCTGGGCAATAATGGCAACTCTGTTAGCTAACGCGGGCTACTAGCAGAGAATCATCGAAGCTCGCAAACTAAAAACTGCAAGCACTGTCTGTTATGTATGCTTGCGTATATAAACTGCATGGGCCTTGGTCTATGTAACTGATGTGCGTTTGCATATATAAAGTGTAAGCCTGTGGACTTGCACAAAAGGAACTTAAGCTGGAAAGTCTACTGTATAAAAAACAGCGAGGCCTCAGGAAAAACAAAAGATAAATAGACAAATAAACAGGTCTCTGAATAAAATGAGATATCATTTATGTAGCAAGGGGGAGAGGTGACCATCAAACCCATTGGAATGCTTTTCTTATATACATGTCATGAAGTGTCTAGGCGAAAGTTTACCTTCCGACGATATGGATGAAACTCATGTGGGAGAGACTGTAGTGGCAAATACACTCATAGGAGTGGCGACCAACTACTCTCTCAAGTTGTTCATATAACATACAGCTGACCACCGGGGTAAATGTGCCTATATGTATTTCGTGAGATAAATTAGGTTAAAACATATGTGTTTCTGATATACTTATAACGTACACGTGCCCCTGGTGCGACGCTCGTGTGCCAACTATGCGGTTCTTTGTCTTCTCATTGCACTAGCCAAATCCATCATAGTCGATTAAAATGTATTATGATTAGGTTACATTTTTTGTTATGCATATGTAATCCATACCCTTAGAGCTGATTGTTAACGAACGATTCCCTACAAAAAACACATCCACACTTCGGGTGTTCATGCCTCGACAGATAAAATCTCTTCTAGGAAAGTCACTTAACATCCCAAAGTGAAGATTTACAAACCTTAATGGCTGGAAGAACATGATTCAGGATTAGTAAGTTTTGAAAATGATCAACGCATTCAAAGTCCACCAGCTGCATGACAAATACTTAAAATCAGTGATTTTAAACAAAATAATGAGACTTGATAGATGATCACACTTAATTTATACTGGAAAGAATGTGATCAAACAAGGGAGCAATCTCCTTTATTAATCAATAGTCACCAAGTCCTAATTAAAATGATTGGTTAGTTAACTGAACCACTGAGTACATAAATTACTCAGCTGTAAATAAATCCAAGAATAAAACAAAATTTACTGGTGAACACTTATTCATCATTATTGAGCAATTTAGTTATTCATGCAATCAACAAAACAAACACAGTAGATCTGATCATTTGAAGGTTTTTTTAATGAATAGTTCAGTGAGGATTTAATTATAACAATCATGTCAAACCATATTACGATCGATTTCAGGAAAAATGTAAAATACAAATCTTAGTTAAGGATTTAATTTAGAAAATAGTATTAATTTGACTGCAACTAACCTCAGCTGTCTTTTTAATGAGCTTAAATTTTCTTTAAAAAATTACGAAAGATATGTAACATAAAATTTCATATGCTTAACTCTGGTGAAAAGTCAGCTGATTACTACAAATAAATGTCAAAACTACCAATACATTTAATCACTTCATATTTCTCTGCTCGGTATTTTCTGAATATAGTTTTATTTCATTTATGGATACTCACAATAAGAATCTGTAATATTCCAAAACTGTCTGTCGATCATCACCTTTTTCGTGCAGCTGTAATCTAGATTTGAAATTATTTGTAAATAGCATTTACTACATAAACTTGATCAGCGTGTATTGTGTAAACGAAATGTAGGAAAATTATATTTAATGCCTACTAAAATGATCTAGAAATCTATTTTATTTCATTGAAATAGTGAATCAATTAATGCTAGACCACTATTGGAAGCCTAGGAACACTAGTAATGTGATCCTGTTATGGGATTCATCAGCCGCGCGCATCCGCGACGCCCATACTCTGCAACCGAACACTTGACCTCTGGTATCGCGCATAAACTCTTAACTTCTAGACCACTCAGACAGCATCCAACGATGTTGATATCTAACTTCAATCACTGGAACTCTGAAAATTTTCCTCACAAAATTTATCACAATCTACACATTCCTTCAATAACATTTATTGCATTGTTTTAAAAAAAATAATAATTTACTTGAATCACAAGTTATTATTAAATTTAAAAATCATTTATTCTAATCTAATGGGTTAAATACTAACTAACCTATCGTAAAAAGGGATATTCATAAAAAAGCAAAGTAGAACTACATGTCTACAACGTGCCTATCACCTCAACTTAGGAGGCAGTAAACATCATTTTGATTGTATTAGATAATCCATTTTCAACGACGACAACTACAGCACCAACAATAAAAACAGAGCAAATGTTGGATCATAAAAAAAATCACAGACCGTTCTAAATAATTTACAAACTTTGTTAATCTAAGCTATTTAATTTTTACAAGTGAAATATGTGTCAATTTTAGAAAATTGATTCATGATTTAAACTATACAGAAAAAAATTCTATCATCTTGATGTGACTTCGACTAATACTGAGAAACACATTGGAATAGAACCAATTTTTGATAATGTTAAGTACTTGCGCAATAATGAACAATAATGAATGGTACATTTTCAATGGTAGGTCAATTTATATCGAACCAGTTAATTATATACCCATATGTGTACCTTTGAAGTCATTATGTTACTTCATTATTGATTCTTAAAATTTTAAACAAAGAATAAATCATGTCTAATCATATAATCACTCAAATAGACATTCATATTGTGTATTGTTTACGACTGCTTTAAAACATAACTAGAAATAAGGAAAGGAATTTCTAAGCCTATGTGAATTCGTGGGCTTCAATTAAAACCGATTTAATAGCTAAGTATCCTTCATTGATGTTGTCTTCTTTTACGCCCCACCTTAAAACTGCCCAGTTTGATTTGCCTCTCTCTAAATGGTAGAAAGATTTAAACACCTTTCTTTTCGGAACAGTCCTTGGAAAGCTATTTGTATCGACTGACATTGCACGATTGATTACTCCATATCTCATTGCGTTTAGTAATTTACATGACTGTGTGAACACACGTAGATAGGGACATACATAGATAAGTAAAAGTAATCAGACAATGAAACCAAGGATTATGGAACACGTGCCTTGATGGCTTCAAAAGAAATTGATGTCAAACTGTTCAATTAATGTGGGAAATGGACGCAATTGAGACGGGTCATTGAATGAATTTTAGTATGGCCATTAAAACCATATTCAGCTGCTGTCATGGATGAATTGATAGGTTTATTTAATCCTTGGCTAATCGCAAATCTTAAACTTTCTTATGTGTACAGAAATAATTTGTCGTAATCTTTAAGCGGCGATTTCCTTTTCTCCTATACTATGTTAATTTTCACTCTCCTTTATTTACGATGATCACCTTATGTTCATTTGAACTTTTATTTAATTAACCTTCATGATGAATCAGTGGGCTTATTTAGTACTTTTCCTAATCGATCTTCATTGTTTTTCGTATAAAATGCCTTAATAAGTATACATGTGACCAGACTGCTCAAAAAGTATGACGCCTATACATCACATTTTTCAAATCAACTCCACTGTCTCATTGCTTTATAAAAATTTATGAAATTGACCAACTGTTTTAAACTCCTAATAGTAAACCTGCCACCAGCTAGAGAATGTTTGGTGTTTTTTTAAAAATCAGTTTAACTGTTTCCTATGCACAATAGTTTACAAAAACCTACTGCATTGTAACCTTAATAAACTTGAAATTCTTTATGATGAAGGGCTCTGCTGATATAAAATTATGTTATTTCTACGACCATACTAAGATAATTCAAAACTATTTAGCTATTTTTCTTCTGAAATTCCGTTTCTTATTCTTCATCACCATTTAACTTTGTTCAAACAACCGTCGAATACCGAAAAGAATTGCTCAGCTGCTGGTTCCTATTGTGCGACAGATTCGCTACCCAGATCAACACTTTTCAAGAAACTACTTCTTATTTACAGTAAAAACTGAAGTGTATAAATATGAAGGTTGATTTTCGATTGCATTCATAAGTTTACGTTTTTACATCTAAAAGAATTCGTTAAACGGCTGAAACTGTCCGCAATTCTAGTCTATGAAAATACGCCAAAATTGAACATGATAAATAATATAAACAGTGTTTTGTTTTTTTTAACAGACTAAAATAGAAACTTACCCAAATGGGAAAAAAGTAGATAATTTTGGATGAATTTCAAAAGCATTTTTAAAAATTAAACAACCAGTTCGTACAGGATTTTGACAAAGCAATGGCCATGTAGAAAATAGAACATCTAATTCTAAGTCAGAAAATAATTGTCGAAATGATTTATTTTCTGGTATATTGTGTGAATCAACTTGATCATTCTTATCTATCTCATGATCATTGTTTAATAAACTGATGGAATTTTCTCTTGGTCGTGAATTGTTGTTAGTGTAAGTGATGCTTTTTTTCGCATGATTTTGTGATGCTAGCGAGACACTTGATTTTTTCGACTTATTACCGGATGGACGACTTTGTTCTGAACCCATTTTACTGCAATACAAAAAGCGTTCTTTGTTTGAAAAAAAGTATTCAATGATTTTAATGCAGATTGATCATTCCATTCAACTATAGTTATTACGAAACGACTATATTTTGTGAATGTTTATTTCGCAGAGTAGATTGTTAAACAAACTAAACCCCGAAGATATTGTTGTTTTCTTTTCTTTTTTCCATTTCTGTCACAGTTTTGAGTTTATATAGGAAAAGTGTCACATGTGTGTGTTTGTGTGTGGGTTGAGCAGATTGTGTATTTTCTACAACAACAACAACAAAAAACAAAACATAATCATAATAATAAGCATAATGGATAAACGAAACAATAAATGAAAATTGTTAAGACGCATAAAACTCCAATCATATTTAGGCATGTTTCAAATCGCGTAGTTTCTACCAATGGAATTATTCAACTGGATATAATGTCTTTGGAATGGAATACTCATATAATAAGGAATAAGCATAATAATTTCTTAATTGTTGAATGTCGAATAGATATATATACATATAAATTCAAAGAAATCCATGTGAGAATTGTTTTCTGGCTTCATTAGGAATAAAAAAGCAACCTAGAAGAGACTAACAGGATTTAATATGTAAGAATGCTTTGTTCTTCTATGTAGTAAACTAGTTATAGGCGATTTCAGGATGAATATCACATGCTGAGACATTAGATAGGTGAACCGGTATTCCAGTGTTGATGTTCTCACTAGGACTTGGATTTAATATCACCTACTTCAAATGTCCGACGTCTTATACACTTACTTAACTAGTGAGTTCAAATAACCACTGGTTTACAAAATAGGAATGAATTGTACTCATTTATAAGGACATGGATATCTCAGTTGTTGATGTTAGGAACTGAAATAAAACAGAAAATGTCTTATGATAAATTCAAAAGCACAGTGTTAATTAACAAAATTTAAACAAGAATCTGAATATTAATTTTTTGAAGATTTTCATGGTTGTAAATTCATATAATCAGAAATCTTCAAATAACTTAATCTGTGAAATGAAAGAAATATCTTAATAATACGTCAATATTTTTCAATCATCACCAGAACAGTTATAATTTCATTGTTTAAAACTGGATAAAGTTCATTCTCAAGTTGTTTATGTCTATTCATTCCACTATGTAATTAAACTTATGTAACTAAAAGTTTCCAGATAACTGCACTAGTGATGTAAAAAACATTGATACTGGCTAAATAAATTAATTAATGAACAATTACAGAAACACTATCCTCTACACTCCTGTTGACTTTTATCATATTTACAAACTATTGAAAGTGTTCAAATAAATACAGGAAATTGAAATTGCATTCTCAAGTAGAGTGAACACTTATTAATTCTCAATCGATAAATTTATTTGATTTTCAGATCGAATCTGTCTTCTCACTGTTCTAATAAAATTTATAAAAGGGACTTATTGTTTTACATTTCGAAAAAGAAGACTCCGTCCGCCTTGCATTAAATTTCATCTTACATTTAAAGTGCAAAATACTGTACTGTATCAATTTTCTAATACAAAATACTGTTGTTGTTTGATATTTAAAAATCCTGATTATTTGAACTATTGAAATGTTATTGATGAATCTATATAAAATTTCGGTCTCATGTCACTGTCCGATGGCTAATACCTCACTATATCATTGCACCAAATAAGTTCATTAATTGATTTACATTAGGTTAATTATTTCATGATAAGTATATTTTCTCTTATCGTCCGCTTTTCCAATTGTTTCTGACTTACAGATTCATTAAACTTGAAAGCCTAAACAAACTAGCTCGATTTATATTTCAGTCAAAAGTTTTAGCATGGTTTATTTATGAGTAGCACTGCATTTTCGGATAAGTGATTCATCCCATTTGCTACTGTAGTGTGGATGTACACAGTGAAATTCAAAATCAGTGCTTATCACTTATCTTCTGAGCTGCTGAGTTTAACTATCTAAGTAAGTGCTCAATGAAACAGATTTTTGACGATATTTGTGGATGTTCTTCATGTCTCGATGTTGACACTCAAGATTGTAATTTCATCATTGTCCATTACGAGATGATGTATGCATGTATGTAATAGTAAAGGATAGAGTAAACCTAGTAAATAAATCCATGATTGAAAAGTTACTTTCAACATAAAAATTCATTTGGTCTAAAATATGCTTGGTTCATATTTATTAAAAAAACCAGTTTGCTACATTCAAAATTCATTTAGTACTCAAAGTTTTCTATTCCAATATTCAGTAGAAAAACTAAATTACAAAAGTGTACCATGGATTCCAAAATAATCCAGTTCATTAACATTACTAACATCGAATGTTAAAAGCATATTTAATTATGTTTTCTCTGACAAGAATTATTACAAAAATGACAAACTTGTTTTCATTGATAAATGTAAACAATATAATTATCTTTCGTTTTCATGTATCAGTTAATAAATACACTTTGTGAATTTATCTATCTATATTACTTTATTCTTAAGTTAATGGAATAAAAGCTGTAATATTGCATGTATCGATCAGGAAATATATATATATATATATATATATATATATATATATATATATATTCGACATTCAACGGTATATATATAATTCATGATCGATACATGCAATATTACAGCTTTTATTCCATTAACTTAAGAATAAAGTAATATAGATAGATAAATTCACAAAGTGTATTTATTAACTGATACATGAAAACGAAAGATAATTATATTGTTTACATTTATCAATGAAAAGAAGTTTATCAGTTTGTAATAACTCTAGGCAGTGAAAACATAATTAAATATGCGCGCTGCGCACTGCTGAGGAGTCCCATACCAGGACGAAACAGCCGTCCAGTGCTTCCAGGTGTCTAATGGTGGTCTAACATTGATCGATTCATGGTTTCAAAAGTGTAACTTAACAATCTTCGCAACCCCTGTAATGCATATACATAATTCGCCTTTTGTTATCACTTATGTAAACAAATTAACTTGATGTTTAAGTGTATTTGCAAACTAGTTGTAAATCTGAAATGGAGATAGTTGTTTATAAATAAAATCGTGCATCAATCATTGTTAGATCACCATTAGAAACCTGGAAGCACTGGATGGACATTAAAACCATTGGGTACTGACTGGCCTAGTGGTCCATAGGTTGAGCTTTCGCATGCAAGACAGAAGATCCTGAGTTCGAATCCCTGTGCAGGAATCATCGATGTACACTGCTGATGAGTCCCATGCTAGGACGAAATGGCCGTCCAGTACTTCCAGGTTTTTAATGGTGGTCTAAAAATAATTGATTCACGAATTTAGTAATAAAGTAATCTTTAAACGTTTCATTCATACAAAATTGGTTGAATTTCAATCAGATGGACAATTTTTCCTTACGGTAAATTAATAAATGATCAGTTATACTGTTCATTGGGTTTTTTTTCAATTTGAAATTACTTCTTTCTAGGAAAATAAGTTTGCTTTTAAATATTGATTTTTTACACAGTCATCATAATCGAATATAAGTGAAAAAAAAATAAAAAGTTTATTTTTAAATAGAATTCTTGCTACTTATACTTTTCATGTATAGAAAATAATAGTCATTAATTTATGCATCAAGTTATATGAACAAAATTGACTAGGTGTGTTTCAATTAAAACTGGTCTGTTTGTATTTTTTTGTTTCAATGAACTTGTTCATGAATTTTAGGCGTTTCATTAAATGTTAACTTCATAAGACAAGAAACATTTATGATTGTGAAAATAGGAAATTTGAATAAGATGAAAGCTTGAATTTTTGATTTTAAAGTGTTTATTATCATAAGATATTTTGACTGATAAATATATTTTCATTCTGACTAAATTGGTTGAACTAATTAACCGATTAAAAGTGTGACACAAGTGTTATCGGTATTGATTAGGAGAATGTCTCAGAAATTTAGATTGTCGTTCTTAAAGAGAGCATATTAAAAGAAACGAATGTTTGTAATTAGATCAAGTTTTCGCGGTGAGATTCTTAAAGACCTCAAGAAGTCTAAAAAACCAAGTAGACTGCTAATTCAGTCCTTAAAGAAAAATATCAAATCCGTATAATTTCCGGTTTCCTCAACTTACCATTTTTTTAACCGAATGGTTTTGGATGACGTGATTTTGAAAGATATCATCTCTGCACAGTTTTTAGTGAAATACGAAACAAAGAGACAACTTTGGAACCACATCCTAAACATGATTGAGGGATCTCTGAATTTGGAAGTTGAGACCGATGAGGGTTATTATGAAATGGGATGGGATCGATATCTTCTAAGTGTTGCCAAATAATAATAATTAGATGATTTTAATTTGGGGATGTTAGATCCCCAGAACTTGCTTGATAAAAGCCTTATTTTGGATTTCACGTTTGCTAGCATGGGCTGATCAGTTCACCTTGAGATTTCATTTCCCACTAGAAAAATCCTTGGCTGTGATTGGCTGCTGTGTATTTTAGTGTGTCATTTTTGTGACTGTCCCAAGGACGTTTCTATGATGTATAAATAAACGAGAGTTGTGTGCTTGATTGCATTTTGCTTGCTGCGTGTTATAGAATATACTTTCTACGCTGTATCAAGACTTCTCTTTGGTCATTTCAAATTAAGTTAGCCTACTTACCTAGACACTACTTCATTGTCTCGTTCGCGTTTATCGACTAAGTTGAACCCGTAATAGTTTCAAGCCTACCTAGTGACGAACCTAACAATATTTTTCTCATTAAAATAGATTTAACAGAAAATGACAAATCATAAGTGTGGAATCTGTTCGATTATCGTTCCACAAGTGAAATAAAATTTTAAAGAAATTAGATGTAGTCTACATATCAGTAGGCTACAGTTTATGCTTAAAATAATGGTTTAAATAATACTTTTCATTCCATTAGGTAGTTACTTATATTTTAGTAAATAATATTACTGTTATTTATCATTATTAAGGATTGATTTGAACCTTTTTCTTACTAGAATTTACGTTAAATAAACGAATTTATTTATTCAATTCATTTATTCGCAATGAAAAAAAGCAGGAAAGACATTGAATAAAAAAAGCTACAACTGTGCATTTCGCTTTAAATTTTGAAAGAGAGATCGATTGGATTATTGATATATATCAATATTTTTTAATTAATTTGCTCAAGTAATTGAAAACTGCGTATTGAACTGCTT